GTGCTCAATGACCTCTTCTCGCCCGCCGTACGCGGTGATCGACGCCTCTTTCTTCGCGTCGCCGTCGCCTTCTCACTCGCTGGGCGCCAGCGGCGGCGTCCACCTGCCGACCGTCTCGATGCGCTGCCCTGTGAGCTCCGCGAGAGCATCTTCGCCCAACTGTCGCCCTCCTCCCTGGATGCGCTCGCTCGTGCAGGCGATCGGCAGGCAGCAGCGGCACCGGCGTGGCGCGCGTGCAGCGCCCAGCGTCAGCCCAGCGCCGACTGCGACGCTGCTCTGCCCGAGAGCTTGCTCCGGCCGTGTCTGGTGCGCCAGAGTAGAAGAGGTCACCAACCAGTCTCGGGCTGGAGTAATGGAAATCTCTGCGCAAGAACAGTAGATCGTTGGGGTAGAGACAGTAGATTAAGACTGGAGATCCTAGCGGATCTCTCACACGGACACGCCCAAGTCTCGCCAGTAGATCCCTCCTGTCCGGTTCCCCATTCAAGACTAAAGAACGAAGATTGAGATTGTGGATTGCAGATCGCTGAGCAACACGGGCCGAAAATGTGGGAGATAGGAGATGGAGAATGCAGATTGTAGATCCTAGCGCCCAGCCATCCGCCCCAGATGTGAGATCGAAGATTGAAAATGGAGGTCGTAGATTGCTGCCGGCGGCGACAGTGGCCAAGTAGAAGATTGGAGAAATGGTTGGGTAGTAGGGCTAGAGGGTCGCTCTACACTTAGCCTCTGCAGCGAGCGAGCGCTCAACTTAGCCCCCACACGGAGCCGGGCTCGGACTTAGACGCTGTATGGTCGGGGGCCATGAACTTAGACGACATAAGGCCAACTCCGGGCAAAACCCGGGTATACCTGAAAAGCCTCCAGGTTTACCCGAAAGAAATACCTGGACGCGTCCCACCAACGTATGCCGCGTATGCCGCGCACGACGCCATATCGCCTTCTCCCAGGGCCAGTGCGCTACTTGCGGCGCGCAACGCCTGCTCAAGTACCCCCCCCCACCATGTGCTGCCGCTATGCGTGCCTTAAGGCGGCTGCGGCGAAGCGGCGGGCGCGGCATGCCGATGGCAGTGCGGACGATGCGGTTGCGATGTGTTCTGCTTCAAGATCGTGGCGGTGCTTGGCATGCACTTCTGCGATCCCAATCAGCTCATCGCAACGAAGCAGCGCAACAAGCTGGCTGCTGCCAACAAGGCCCTATGCTACCTCACGCGCGGATCGTTCAAAGAGGACCAGCACACACAGGCTTCACCGTCACGCGTTTGATTAAGCTTGAGGAGCTTCGTGTCATGTGAGAACTGTTTGGCTAGACGTCGCTCAAGAATGAAGGAGCAGCAACGAAAATCGGAAGAGGAGGATGCTGAGGCGGCGATTGCTAAGCATGAAGAGGATCCATCGCCCTCCGCAGGAGAAGAAAATTTGGGGGCTGCGCCGTATCGTTGATCACGGTGGGAGCCTCCTGGCCCCAGGCCGTGCCACGGCCGACTTAGCCGATGTAAGAGGCTCCCGCTGATCTTAGACCGCGCAAGCACTCCAGCGTGGCTAGCCACACTTAGACCCGTCCAGCCTCGAGGCTCAGAACTTAGACTACTACCCAACCAGTATTGGAGATTGGAGATGAGAGATGGTCAGTGTGAATGAATCCAAATTGCATCTCCTTGAAGGTTTGAGCCCCCCTCCTCCCCCGGGCCCCCGAATCGAGATTGGAGATTGGAGATTGGAGATTGGAGATGGAGATCGGAGATCTGACTGAATCCGGCCTAAGATGACGACGTTGGGAGATTGGAGATTGAAGATGGAGATCGGAGATCTGTCTGACTGGATCCCCGGCCTAAGATGACGACGCTGTGGATTGGAGAGTATTGGAGGTGGGGAGGTCGGAGCCCACCCACCCCCTAGTGGTGTTGATAGATGTTTTATAGATTTTTGTTTTTTCCTGTGGTCTGTGCGCGGACGGCCCGGGGAGCCTGCGGCGCCATCTTAATCTGCGCTCCTCTTTATGGCCTGCGGCGCCTGGCTTGAGCTTGGAAGTGTAAACGAGTCCGCCAGGGCGGTCTGCAAACACGGAGCGCGCTGCGCGCGTGGACTACGACGAAGTTATCTGCCTACTTTGCGACCAGCTCGTCGAGCCTGTCAGTCAGCCCGTCCGGACTTCCTGCGAGGCCCTGAGCACCCTGGTCGAGGCCGCAGGCGGTCGCCGAGTCGACAACCTCGAGTGCGGCGGCAAAGGTTGAGTCAGGCATGTCCAGACGAGCGGTGCAGGACCGGGCGGCGACGAGGATGCAGGCTTACTGGCGCGTGCTACGCCTGCACTCCGAGTTGTTTTGACGTTTTGTGTGTGTCGATAAATAAAACGGGGGGCAATAGCGTGCTCTGCCCCTCGCTCAGGCCACTCGTCTCCGTTACGCTCCGAATTTCTCTGCTCGCAGTCACCGCGCCACTCCGCGCTGTCCTCTCGCTAGAGATTTTTTCTTTTCCTTTTCGCGGATTTTCATCCGGACCTTTTGTTTGCCCTGGCCCGGCTCACGCAAACGAGTGAACGAATGTCGGGCGACTCTTGCCCCTTCCCCTCCCTCCTAGGAAACTTTCCAAGGTCGAGAACACCTCTAAGGCTCCACCCTCTTTTCGCGCCATTTTGCAATCTCCAGTCGGCCCACACGATCTCTAGGCGCCTTTGGCGCGAAGTCAGAATCTCCACCTCTGTCGCAAGATCTCAAGCGACTGCACGCACCAACTCGAGATCTCAGACTCCTCTCGAGCATCTACTCCGAAGAAGATTGGCCTCCACCAGTTCTTCAATCTACTGCTGCTCTTGGCAGGAGATTTGCCACTTAAGAGATCTCTGAAAGGCATCTACGATCTACAGTCCAAGGATCTTCCGATGTAGCGCAGAGATTTCCATGTATGTCGGGCTGAGTGCGTTCCAAAGCACCAAACCAGTAAAAAAAAGCGCTCAAGCGGAGGCGGCTCGCTCTCGAAGCGAGGTCATCTCACAGCACAAGCGCGACACCGATACATGAGAAACGGAGAACAAACTTTCCGCCATACACGCCTCTCACGCGTGTGACACACGCCCCACACGCCGCCACGGCCACGGCCAGCCCCTTGGAGTGTGAGATCTCGAGTGTGAAGGCGTCGTAGCCCTCCGGTCTACTGAAGACCCGCAGGGCTGGAGCGAAAATAAAGCAAGCGAGTGGGCCACGGCCCACGCCCCGCGCAGCCCGCGCGCCAAAAACACATACGCCTCACGCGACGAGGACGTCCGACACACGGAGAGGGCTCTAAGAAAAAGTGGTGATGTTTTCCGGGTCTCCGGCCGCGACACGCGCCGAGAGCATGAGCGACGATAGGCCGAGCCGGTAGGCGTGCGCGGCGCGGCGCATGAGGAGCCAGTCGGCATAGAGGGCTAAGACGTCGTCCTCGGACACACGGGACACGTCCGTCTGCCCGAGGTGCACTGGCCGGCCGAGCTTGCGCGTCGTGAGCATGCCTCTCTCCTCGGCGAGCTCCGCCACCCGCTGCGTGTCCGTCACCACCACGTGCGGCAGCGCCTCGTGCTCCGCCGCAAAGCGATCCAGCACACCCCGTAGCGCGCCGTCGGTCGCGGTCCCGTTGCGGAAGACCTGCCGCCGCTCCTTCGACCACTTCCAGCGCGTGCTGCTCGACTCTCTCTGCATGGAGCCGTCGCCCAGCCGGGCGTGCATCACCACAAAGGGGGCGTTGTCGGGCACGACTCTTCCCATCGTGCGCCGGAGCGCGGCTGTTGGCTCCAGAAAAGCGCGCAGTGCGCATTGCATCGACCGGACCGACCACTTCTCGATGCCGGTCCGTGCTCTGAAAAGAGCGGCGTTCTGAACTGGTCCCGGACCGCGCTCGAAGAACTTGTCTGGCGCAGTGTGCTCCCCCGCGCAGAGCTTGACCACGCTCGGGCGGTCGGTCACAAGGAGACCTGATACATGCGTGCGGTTGTACACGATTGGACGCGGCCATCGCATCCACAGGTGCCACTCTGCAACATTGAAGACCGGCGGCGACATGCGCGATGACCGGTCGGGGAAGTGGCTGCGCGACGGCGGCACTGGCACCTCCCCTTCCCTCGCCACTCCCGGCAACCTCTCCCAGCCCTCAGGCTGCCAGTCAAAGCCTCTGCCACGAAACCACTTGCGGATGGTCCTCTCGACACCTCGGCCGTCCCCACACGTGGCGAATCCAGGGCAGGCCAGGATCAGCGCTCGCTCTGTCAGGACGGACGCGGCAACGAGCGACTGGAGGCCAAACAGCCACGCGCCAAAGCCGGACGAGGAGGGGCAGTACAGCAGCAAACGGCCCTCGGACAGCCACCGGGCGTGCTGCGCGGGGTACGCGTCCTCAAAGTAAGCGCACGAGCCGGTGGCGGGCGTCGAATGTCCAATCTGGCGGGGGCTGCGGAGCGCGGATGCAGACATACGTGTATATATCTGTGCGTAGGGCGGCAACGCGCTGTTTGCCCTTGCGGCGGGCGCTTTTTCTTTTGTTCGAGGCTGCTCCTCCAGAATCTCGCGGAGCCAGCTGCTCGGTGTACCAAGTCCGTTGAGATCGATTCTTTCGTGTATTTCACACCGAGGCTGCTGACGGCGGTTGGAGGTTGCCCTCCAGGGAGGGGCCGTGTGCTTGGAGCTTCATGGAACCCGCCCGTCTGTCGCGACTGCTAGCGGCCGCCGCATCGCTTTCGGCCGCCACATGCGATCCGGATAGCAGCAACGAGGCGCCTCTTAGCGCTGTCGGGTGGCACGGCGCCATCGTCGCTGCCTGCCTGCTTGTCGGTGTGCTGACCTTCTTCGGCGCTGGCACTGGTACAGCTTCAACTCCGCAGCACAAAGGCCTTGCGGAGGAACGCTACTTCCAGAAGCTGCTCGAGCCGGACGACGAGAGCAAGTTTTCAGGCAAAGGCGACGGCTTCTCATGGAGTCAGACTGTGTCCGAGGTTGTGGTTGAGGTGCCGCTTCCGGCCGGCGCGAGGGCAAGAGACGTGGCGTGCCGCGTGCTGCCGGCCTCGCTTTCGCTTGCGGTGTGCGGCCAGGCTGTGCTGCAGGGATCGTTGCTGCGGAAGGTGCTGCCTGACGACTCGGATTGGGTGCTCGAGGATGCGCCCGGGCAGGGGGAGGGGAGGCTGCTGCGCCTCACGCTGGTGAAGAGGTCGCCCACTGCGGGGCTGCAGCACTGGACTAGCGTGCTCGCAGGTGCGTCGAGCGGGTAGACTAGCCCATGTGCACACCTGTATCATGTTATTTCTTTTTCCTTCGCGCAGAGAGATCAAACTTCAAAGAGAATCGGCGTTCGTGACGTGTCTTACGTGTACGTAAGCTGTAGAGCTGTTTAACATTAACTTTGGGCCTAACAGTTGCGCTAGTGTTGGGTGAAATCCTTAACGTTGTTCAAGTGTGTTCACCCCAGCTCATATGCTGTTACTGTTTGTTACTGTTGTTACTGTTGTTCAGCGGTCAGCAAGCAGAAAATGCCAAAAACCCGGGTAAAACCCGAAAATACCTGGGGGTTTCCGGGTATTTTCGGGTATTACCCGCACTGGACGGCACGCTGGAGATTGTCGTGGATGGGTCACTGGACACTGCCAGGGCCTTCCTTATTGTTGTTCAGCCGGCCTAACGTTAGCTACTGTTGTTGGGGAGCCCCACTGTTGTTCTGTTGTTACTGTTAACACTAGCAACACTGTTCAGCTCCCAACGTTAAACAGCTCTAGCTAAGCTGTACAAGGACTAAGGCATAAAGCGCCGCCGTATATAAGGTAAGGTGTAAACGTCTCCAAGCGACTGGCGCGTGCATCAATTGCGTCGTGTGAGAAAGCGTGGGCGGCCGCTTTGGGGAGTTCGCGGCCGCACTTTCGTACCGAGTCATTTCTGGTTAACTTGCTTGCAGGCTGCGGCCCAATCGAACACGCTCTCCCTCCGGCGCAACGGGCATGGCCCTCGGAGCCCTCGGCGCCGCCACCCGGCTGATCGCCTCGCAGACTGTGCGCTGCGCCCGTGCGGCACGCGCGCCGACAAAGGCCGCCCGCGCAGCCGTGGCACTCAGCCCGCCACAGAGGACAAAGGCAAGCGGGGTGCCTACGGGCGCTGCGGGCGAGGAGACGGACCACGCAAAACACGCACCGCCGAGGGGAGCGGCGGCCACGGCCGCACCACTCGTCACGCGCGTGTGCAGCCCGGCCGCTACGCGCCGCTGTCCGCCCTCGGGACAAACTGCGGAGAGCATCTCGAGGCAGGCGGCGGCGGCGGCGGCGCTCAAGGCGGCGCCGAGCGCAGTGTGTAGCAGGAGGAGCGGTAGAAGGAACTGCGGAGTGGCGAGGCGAGGCAGCGCAGGCAAAGAGGCGTAAGCGGCGGCGGTAGCAAGCGCAAGCCGAACACAACGCGTCTCGGGCGCGGCGACCCGCGGGCGGCCGAGCCGAGAAAAGGCGAGCACGCCGAGCCCTTCTGCGCTGAGCAAGGCGGCGCCCGAGCGAGGGCCGAGGCCACCCGCGTCGGCGTCGCCGCCTGCGCCAGTGCCCAAGACAATCCAGAGCAGGAGCGCCTCGTTGTACGCAGTCTCAGCTAGGGCCAAGAGCCCGGCGGCCGCCAGCACACTGATCGCCGCTCGAGGGAGGGGTTCGCTGCTCTCACTGCTTCCGCTCCCGCATCTGCTGTCGCCACTCAAAGACCCGCCGCCAGGATTACCCAGGGGCTTGTACCGTGAGGGCCGTCCGCCGACCGCCTTGAGGGCTGCCGCCGCGCCCCGCATAGCAGGCGCGGCTCTGTGGTGCTCCACATTGACGCAAGCGGCCGCAGTGGCAGTGGCTGCGGTGGCCGTGGCAGGCAGGAGCACCGCCGCCGCTGAGGCGCCGAGACATAGCGCAGCAGAGGCGAGGCACGGAGCCAGAAATGGGCGGGCCAAGCCGTCGTCTGGGCCATCGCCGCCGACGCCGCTAGTCTCATTCCCCCCCAACTCGAGACCGCTGCGAACAGTGCCCACCAGGGACCCGATGATCGGAGGCAGAAGGAAACTGGCACCACTAGCCACCGCCACGTTCAGTCGTGTTGGGTCGAGGAGCGATCGCTGCGGCGGCGCGGCGGGATCAGAGACGAGGCAGTGGCGCACCGCACGCTGAAAGGGCGCCGCGGCTAGTCCGGTGAGCGCTCGGCAGCTCAGTGCAAAACCAAATGAGGTGGTGAGCCCGAGGCTGAGCGAAGCCGCCGCAAGCAATGCAAGCCGCACGCAGAGCTCTCGCTGTCTTCGGACTGGCGAGACTGTCCGCGGGCAGATTTGGTCCACCGTGATACCAAGGTGGAAAGTGGCGGTGAGGAGACCGCTCCA